CTTGTTCCACTTTAAGCAAACTAAATATAAGCGTTCACTAGCTCCGTATACGAAAATAATATAGAAAATATATTAAACCAAAAAATAGTAGTGTACAAACGTATGAAAGCTCTTTTCCGCAAATAACCCTTTGTCTGGTCCACTTGGAGCTTACAAGAAACGACGGGTGTCGGTTTCTGCTGGAAATGGCCCAGCATGATTTTGAGTGAGAATGATCGCAAATGCCTCCTATTTTACTTCCAGATACTTCTGAGCTTCAAAAATTGCTCAAAATCTCGTTGAAAAAATTATTTCTTATCAGTTTTCGTCACCAATTCAAGGAAAGTCCTTCACTTTGTTTCTCAGCTAAAGAATTTTCCGCGCTTCAAAACGAGCTATTGACAAGCTTCTCAAACATATGCCCACATAGAACAACTGTTAAAATGCTAGAAAGATATCATAAATTTCACCCATCCTAACACTTTAAAGGAATACTTCTTTGATGCTTCTACTCAGACCTTGAATGCTTTATATATAGAAAGATCGAGAAGTTTTTAGGCTTCAAAATAAATAAGTCTTTGAAAAATATGCCCAGATGGATCAATAGTCGAAATGCTTGGCCGGTATAATGATTTTCACCTATCTTACGAGGAAACGTATTGAAGTGTAACACTCCGATTTCGTTCGTTCTTATTTCAGTCGATAGAGGACACCGAGGACACCGAAATGATCATTTTTTGTGAATCTTTTTTGTAAAAATATAAAAGGTATGAAAGTTTCTAATAGCATATTCGTACAGAGCACACTGGAATGCGTATACTCATCGACTGTTTTGCGTTTGAAGATAAGTTGCAAGAACTCACCGTTTCTACAATTTTGAGCAGTGTTGTAGAACTAAGAACAGTTTCTAGTACTGTGGTACAGATATTCATTCAGTTGAACACATGCACCTACGGTAATAGATACAAAGTGGACTTTCTTCTAGTTCTCTGAGGATGTCGTGTCATTATATTTCCTTTGACTAATCAAAAATACATCATGAGTTAGAAACGCGTTACTGAACATTACCGAAGCATTTCTTATCATTACTGTGAAATGCGTAATGTTCGATTTTCTTTTACATTATACGAGAATGTAAATTTCCTTCTCTATACGTTTTATCGTTTTGACCTACAACACAGATAAAAATGAAACCAGGCTGTACAATGTGGACGAAGTCTAACATCTGTCTGTTGATCTGTCTGTCTGTCTTGTAGCGCACGTCGAGTTACATGCACGAAAAATTTTTCGGACCTTAACTGCTTAAGAGAGCGTTCGCCAGAAAATCCACCTACGTGCCCACTGGAACTTTTAAACACTTTCGAATTAATGCAAAATAATTTCGAGATTTAAAGGAATTTTAACAAATTTAAAAGGAAATTCGTTCAGATTAATTTAAAAAACCTTTCTGCGTTCGGAATTAATGCGCATCAATGTGTTCAAATTATTTTTAAAAAAGGAAAAAAACTGAAATTAATTTTAATTGATTTTTTCGTGAAAAAAGTGATGTCCCTCATGACCGTATTACACAAAGTCTCATATTAAATTAAGTGACACGAATTTCGAATTAGTTTCCATTAATTCGAAAACTCTACACTAATTTGAGACCTCAAATTAATTTGAATTAATGTTTTTCCAAATTCCTTTAATAAATCGGTTTGCACTAATCTGAAAGAATAAGTTCAAAACAATTTTCAGTTTAAAATTAATCTGAATTAATTTTTTCAGGCTTATCGTAGTTAATGTCCTAACAAATTGATTTAAACGAATTTGTAATTTTACAGTGATTTAAATTGGTTTGGAAAAGCATTAATTAAAAATAATTTTAAGTTAAAAATTCGTTAGAACTAATTTAGATTCAAACCAATTAAAATCGATTTACATGAGAATTAGTTTACTTTAACTTTTAGTTAAAAATTATTGAAACTAAGTTCAAACTACTTGATGAAGATTTCAAAACTTTTTCCAAAAACGAGAAAACCGAAAGTTCCCATAGTACATCAGATATAGTTACAGGCTAAGTTTCCCGAAGCAACTTTTGCGAGGGATCCAGTGGCAGTCTCAGAAATTCTTGAAAATGTTTCTAAACCGAAATAAATATCTATTTTGGTTTCAAAAAACTTGAAATTAACTTTACATTAATTTTTTTGTAGTTATTTACATTAATTTTGGGTACAGAAATTCGTTCAGATTAATTTAGAAAATATGTCCTATTTTAATTTGAGGTTGTTACAATTTTTATCACAGAACCATATGCTGACTGCTTTCCTTTTGTGAGACAATTTTCAACAACAATTTCACAAAATTTTTGATTCAAATGACCAACTATTTAATCAGCAATACATAGTTCTGTAGCTAATTCACTTATTTTGGATCCCGATGAAAATTAGTCTCTTGTAGTCTACATGGTACGACCGAAAATACCGTCCTCATGTACTTTTTAAGGTAGATCCTAACTGAATGAGCAACATAGCGAGTTTCTCACTGATAGAAGAAAACTAGCATGAAAAACTCTTATTCATTTTAAACTGCCTAAACTTCCAGTAGCAGGATATGCAAGTGGGGACGCGAGAGAGGAACATATTTGCATGACTTGTCTGGTAAAGACCAGTGACACATATAATACAGTTTTTTGTTAGCCTCTGAAGAAAAAATTATAGCCATTTTACGGTCGCAGCAGAAAAATGCATTTTCTGACTGATTTGGCCTAACTTGTAGAACGTCTGGTGACCATATTTCCTAAGGTGGAACCTTGAAGTTGGTATCAAACGAAAGAGTGCGTCGAGTTCTACTTAGGTCTGACCAAAAGTTCTAAGAACATTAAATAAAAATATAAAGATAAGGAGATATTTTTTATTTTATTTTATCAAATGTTGAGGATAGTTGCCATTATTATTTATACCAAGTTCGATCCTTTCGTACAATTTGTTAAAAGTTTTTTTGAAGTCTTTTTCGAAAAAATTTTTAGGTATCTTGGAAACCGCATGAGTTAATCATGTTTCATGTATTTAATCAGTTAAACTACGTTTGATAGAATTAGTTAACCAAAAATTACATAGTATCAGGCCTGCCAAATATGGTGGATATGACATTATATTGATGCCGTCTTCTGTCATATAATTAATAACATTGGATGAATATGAAGTCAACGATGGTCGTCAAGCAATTTTGTACCTCATGTTTCTATCTGTTTCCATATTTCATTAACAAAAGGCTTCGAACAATTTTCAATATAAGATTTGTGACCTACAATCTTGCCTTTATCGACACTCAGGACTATTTGATTTAAAAATTATACCAAACAAAGTTTTGGTTAAAATCTGTCTTCATGAACACTAGTCTCATCTTCAATAAGTCAGCTAGCATTAGATGGTTTATGACTAACCTATCTAAAATAAATCCATATCCCATCACTAGTAATGCTAGAACGCAACTGATATGATCGAACAAAATTTCGATAAATTTTTAAAACAAATGAAATATGATTAGTTCATGCAGTTTCCAAGGTACCCAAAAATTTTTTCGAAAAAGACTTCAAAAAAACTTTTAACAAATTGTACGAAAAGATCGAACTTGGTATAAATAATAATGGCAACTATCCTCAACATTTGATAAAACAAAATAAAAAATATCTCCTTATCTTTATGTTTTTATTTAATGTTCTTAGAACTTTTAGTCAGACCTAAGTATATATTTCGATGAAGAGACGTTATACCAGCCCTCAGGGTCTTGAGATAGCGATTTCTGAAAAACTCGGTTTTGTAGAAAACCCAGTGGCCTTAAAAGTATTTCCGAAGTTTTTCAACCATATCAAGGGATGCACTCTTCAATTCTCAAGAGAGTAGCACATATGCGTCTATATATCCCATACTAATACTGAAAAAATGCAAATTTTGGCCAATTTCTCAGTATACCGACATTTGGGCGCACGTCACTTGGGCGCGCGTCATTTAGGCGCAACGACATTTGGGCGCTGATATTAGTTTTGTTGGATAATTGATAGTCGTGCTAATACTGTTTGCGTGTTAGCACAGGGAGGTTGACTGTGAGTACTTACGTACCTTTCTTCTTATATACTGTATTCTCACACAGTTATTCTTCGCTTTTTATTGAGCGTCGAAATTGAGCAGAAGAATATTGAGAATGATATTGAGAATGAATAGGAAAGGAAATTCCACCAAGAAAATTCTCTTCTACAATGATAAGAGTTTCTACATGGTCGATCAGATAGTGAAAGAATAGACTTGCGCCAAATGTCGTTGCGCCCAAATGTCGTTGCGCCTAAATGTCGTGCGCGCAAAAATGTCGCGCGCGCCCAAATGTCTAGTAATCCAATTTCTCGCGTCTAACTTCAGCGGCAAAACGATTGTTTTCACAGGGCTGACTCACACTTCTCCAGCTGGAACACGCGTCGAATGAGTGTGGAAACCGAACAGCGACCGGTGGCCATGTGCTGAACCAGCTGAATTGTGTAATTATTCTGATGTTGAAACAGCCCATCATCGAAGAAGCATATATGCATAAGTGACCGAAAGCACTTTTTGATGCCTACAAAATCGACTTCAAACATCTTGTCCAGAAAGCAAAGAATAATATGAACAACCAACGGCCTGTCAAATTTATTATTATTATTATAAATTGATTACTAAGAGAGCAGAAGAATCAAGACTGAGAGAGGAGAGATTCATGCCCAATCGATGCTAGTCGAGAAAGCAGCCGAAGGTTTCATTATTGAGGGTAAGAAGGAGGGCAGACAAACGGAGTCGATGTTGATAGCCCAACAAAGAAGTAGAGAAGAAGTGTTCGCCTGCTGCGCACGTCTCTACTGCATGAAATCATTTCCCTACAAAAAACTGGACGAGCCTATGCGACTAGTTTCTGACAACCAACATGGAATTCTTTTGGAAAGTAAAATATTTTCATGTGGTCCGTTTGTTCTCCCCCTTTGGCTTCTGGGAGACGTTCACACACTCGGAAGAAAGATGTCTACGTATCGAGGAGCGCGTCTGTCCGATGATTTAATCGAACAATACCGGCAGAGAAGCCTCCATCAAGATGGACCGGGTACGATCTGTGAATTTCCAGCGTTCACATCAACGAGTCGAAGTCGAACGAAAGCCGAGCAATTCTGTAATGTTCTCTTTATCATTGATATTCGAGAGCGTCATGGTCACCATGTGTCGCCGTATTCCGATTACAATGAAGAACAAGAACTGCTCAAGCCAAGTTTCTACGTCTCTATTCGATCGTGCATCTTTGACGCGAGCAAGAACAAGTAGATAATTCATCTCGATTCGGATCCAAGTAAATTACTCTTCGTTTCCTGTATTGAAACTATTAAATTCCACTTCTTACTTCCAAGACTGTATTGTCGAGATTCGAAATGTTTGCTTGTCACTTAAGACGACATATGAAACATATGACGTTCTTCTCTTTCAAGGAAATCCGGATATGCTGATGATGGGCACTTTCATATACCATGTATCCTCGTCTCGGCAAATTCTTAAAAGGTAGCTTCAAAAGTTCAGCTTTCGTCATAGTTTTCATACTTTATTTTTCTTGAATTTTACCAATCAACTACTAATACTTCACGCCATGCATGTTGTGGTGGTTCTAATTCTGGAGTAATTTGTTGTGTCAGGCTGTATTATGGATGCAAATAGCACTTTAAGCAATAGTACAAAATCCTTCTATGAACACCATCACATTTAAAAATATAGAGTGACCTCAAATGAATTCCATTTAAACTGATCAATCCATCAATCGTTAAATGTTGACGCAAAGAGAAGCAAAACAGACTTAAAGATTCACTAGTTTTTCAATAACCTTTTCCCAGCAGTGCTCCGAATCCGATCAATACTTTGCTCATCTAACTATACCTGACTTTCTCTTATCCTTTATTAATCTACGTTTCATCATGATAAAACAGCATTGTATGCACACCGCAATCGAGTCGCTGAATGCCTAGCATTAAAAAGATGGAATGGCTATTGACATCATCGGGGGTGTCAGCAATGACTGTTGACATCTCCATATAGTATGTAGACTGTGCGAGAAGTGTATTTCATATAATGACATGAATGCACTTCAGATATAGGTGAACTTTGGTAAAATTCATTGGATGAAACTTTAAAATTAAATTAAAAAAAATTAATTAGATTTCCTTTTTCTGAGAAATGACAAACACGCAGAATGATATTTTGAGGAGAAGCGACACTTGAAATTTCTGCTTGCACGCTATTAAACAAACTTCGAAGAAAAGTTCATAGGTACTGTTATGTTGTGAGGCAAAGTAGCTGAATTTAAACCTGGTCATAATAAATTCTGCAGGTCTAGTATAACAGCAATTTAGAAAAACACGAAATAAAATTAAAGCGGGGCTCAACTACAGCTCTATGGTGCGCTACTTAACTAAGTCCTGTATCTACACTGTACACTGTGTTTTGCTTATTACGTTTAGTTGTGTGAGTTACTTTCTAACCGGCAGTGAACAAGACCATGCAGCAATTCGAAATATGGTTGTGAATCCAATTAAATTGGATGATTATCAAAAGTATAGCGGTAATCCTACTTATGACAACATTTCCGGAAGTGATTATGTCAAAAAAACTAAATTGCATCAACTCACGACATGGGCAACAGAAGTTGAAATTATTGCTGCATCAGGCATTCTCGGCACGAGCATCTTCATTTATCAGGCCGATCAGCATAAATGGTTGAAATTTAAATCACTTAAGTGTCAATCAACAGCAGGATCATATCCATATTTAAGAAGAAATGCGGCAAAAAATCATTTTAATTTAGTCGTTGATCTTGGATGGCTTTTAAATAGAACGTGCGTCATTCAATCAGTATCTTAAAACTGGGAACAAATAAAATAAAATATGCTTCTAAATCTTAATGAAAATTTCCACTCTCAGATTAGAAACAAAGTTTATCTGAACTATATTTCGATGCTGCAACCTCAACGCATTCTGGCTATCCTCCAAGGGTCTACCAAATAAAAAAAAACATATTTTCGAACCATACATTTTCATGATTATTTTTTCATGATTATGATGTACATTCACTGCAAATAATATAGTACAAAGATTGACTCTTAGTTCATCACTCTCGCTTTTCTACATGTGTTTCAATCGTGGGTGCTAGTCGCCAATGCAGTGAATGTACATCATAATCATGAAAAAATAATCATGGAAACGTATGGTTCGAAAATATGCTTTTTTTATTTGGTAGAAAATAAAACAGAATTATAAATCTTCATTAAAAATAAATTTCGATTTTGATTGGATGATGCTGAGCTTTCATGCGTGTTCGGGATTACAGAGCTAGTGTCGATTTCCTTTATACCTATAAAAAAAGGATATATTTTTCACGAAAGGAAAACGACATATCCTCAGGACTTTTCATGTAAAAGAACTGAAAGAGTGAGCACTCCCCGAATAATTGAAAACTGCCATTCGAAAGAGGAAATAGTTTTGGAGATCACTATATATAAAGAAGATTAGTACAGACGACTGTTCGAGTTTCATGAAAAAAAAGAAATTTCTGTCGTCTTGAAGTGTTGTGTCTTTGTGACTCATCAAAAGCGACATTACAAGTTCGAATATCAAACCCTATTATTGTACAAGTCATAGTTGTAGGCTTCAAAATGCATAGGATTAACCATCCGATAATGATGTGACTTTCACTAAAAACACTCATTGATAGAGCTAATATACCAGCGAAACAAAATTCTCTTCAACATCCGTTAAATGAGACTAAAATTGAAAACTGAATTTGTTTAAGAGTACGCATCATCCTCTTTTCTATTAAGACTTTTGATGTCTGATATGCATGTTAGATCTACCACAATATACAGTTAAGTGCCTTCTACCAAATAAGACGCCACTCAACTCACTTTGGCCTTTCTTTATGGATTTTAGGCAATCCTTAAAATTGTCAACAGGAAATCTCAATTTATTATTATTCACTTTGTAAAAATTGACCACTTGTCTATTGACCAGTCAAAGATTCTTAAAAACATATAAAACGTTGTCAAGTGGTCGTGATAGCGCTTTTTCATACATTACTCTAAAACAATCATATTATTAAAATAACGCCTTTCATTCATCAAGAAATCGCCGACAAGTTTCCCTAAAATCATTCAAGAAAAATTGGAACTATCTGATTAGAACGAAACAAACATCAGTCGAACATTCATTTTATATTTTATTTATTCAACTTTCATATGATTACATTTCTGAATGTATAAACTGTTTTATGTAGAGTTGTCAAAAAGTTGCTTATGAGCATCTACCATATAACCCAGCACACCAGTTTGAACAACAATCTTTATGATAAAAACAAGGC